TTTTAATCTTATTAAATTATTTTTTTCAAAAAATTTAGACCTAAAGCGTATAGTTAGGTTTTCCTCCGTAGTCGTTATTTCAATTATAAATTCAAATTGTTTAATAGACTACGACTTTTTAATGGTGATTTGCAATCTTTGAAATGTAAACACAGTACATCAACCTTTTCTTTATAGGCGCCATAAAAATAAAGTTTATATTTATTAATAAATTACGACTCGATTAGCGTTGTCAAGAGAGGCAAACGTTGAACTCTCCAAATATTTCTAGTACGTTTCCTTGACATATTCTGCAAAACTATTGTCTTCGAATTTGCATAAAAGATTAGCTTTAAAAATGTCATTAACATAAGCGGATCGAAACATTCATAATAATATTATTGTTCTTTGAACTGGATAATATCACTTTTTGAAATATACTGTAAAATACATACAAAATTAAAATTTATTTAAAATATTATTACAATTATTATATTTTTCAACGAGTTTTGTGAGTTGAGACTTCTTTTTTAACGGTGTATGTAAACAAATATTACAAAAATAAAAAAAGATTAGCTACAGAATTAGCGCATTAAAACAGAAAAAAGAAAAGAAGCAGAACAAGGTCCGGAAAGAGCTTATTACAGCACATGAAAAGATTATGATAATGGCAGCAGCTCAAGCAGTACGGATGATTTACATATTAAAAAAAGTTCCAAGAAGAAAAAATATTAAGAAAAAATGGCAAAATTCATCTAGTAGTGATGCAAGTGACTATGATGATTCTAATTCATCCGAATCTGAAGAGAAGAGGATTATGTAATTGTAGTGTGCAATGGATGTGTTAAAGAAAGAGATGAAAATCAAGTAAAAGTTTCTTGTATGGAAAAGTATGGAAAACTTGGTAATTCTTGATGGTGGCCCAAAGTAGAAGATTCGATATGGTACGATGATGCAGAAGAAGTAAAAATTATCCCACCACCAAAAATGTTCAACCACAGGAGCATATTTGATGTACCATTGAAGAATAAATATGGGTATTAAGTTATGAATTAAGTTAAAAAATGATGTTTTTTGTCTTAATTTTTGTGTTTACTTACAAACATTAAACATAAAAATCTAAAAATCTAAAAATCTAAAAATCTAAAAATCTAAAAATCTAAAAATCTAAAAATCTAAAAATCTAAAAATCTAAAAATCTAAAAATCTAAAAATCTAAAAATCTAAAAATCTAAAAATCTAAAAATCTAAAAATCTAAAAATCTAAAAATCTAAAAATCTAAAAATCTAAAAATCTAAAAATCTAAAAATCTAAAAATCTAAAAATCTAAAAATCTAAAAATCTAAAAATCTAAAAATCTAAAAATCTAAAAATCTAAAAATCTAAAAATCTAAAAATCTAAAAATCTAAAAATCTAAAAATCTAAAAATCTAAAAATCTAAAAATCTAAAAATCTAAAAATCTAAAAATCTAAAAATCTAAAAATCTAAAAATCTAAAAATCTAAAAATCTAAAAATCTAAAAATCTAAAAATCTAAAAATCTAAAAATCTAAAAATCTAAAAATCTAAAAATCTAAAAATCTAAAAATCTAAAAATCTAAAAATCTAAAAATCTAAAAATCTAAAAATCTAAAAATCTAAAAATCTAAAAATCTAAAAATCTAAAAATCTAAAAATCTAAAAATCTAAAAATCTAAAAATCTAAAAATCTAAAAATCTAAAAATCTAAAAATCTAAAAATCTAAAAATCTAAAAATCTAAAAATCTAAAAATCTAAAAATCTAAAAATCTAAAAATCTAAAAATCTAAAAATCTAAAAATCTAAAAATCTAAAAATCTAAAAATCTAAAAATCTAAAAATCTAAAAATCTAAAAATCTAAAAATCTAAAAATCTAAAAATCTAAAAATCTAAAAATCTAAAAATCTAAAAATCTAAAAATCTAAAAATCTAAAAATCTAAAAATCTAAAAATCTAAAAATCTAAAAATCTAAAAATCTAAAAATCTAAAAATCTAAAAATCTAAAAATCTAAAAATCTAAAAATCTAAAAATCTAAAAATCTAAAAATCTAAAAATCTAAAAATCTAAAAATCTAAAAATCTAAAAATCTAAAAATCTAAAAATCTAAAAATCTAAAAATCTAAAAATCTAAAAATCTAAAAATCTAAAAATCTAAAAATCTAAAAATCTAAAAATCTAAAAATCTAAAAATCTAAAAATCTAAAAATCTAAAAATCTAAAAATCTAAAAATCTAAAAATCTAAAAATCTAAAAATCTAAAAATCTAAAAATCTAAAAATCTAAAAATCTAAAAATCTAAAAATCTAAAAATCTAAAAATCTAAAAATCTAAAAATCTAAAAATCTAAAAATCTAAAAATCTAAAAATCTAAAAATCTAAAAATCTAAAAATCTAAAAATCTAAAAATCTAAAAATCTAAAAATCTAAAAATCTAAAAATCTAAAAATCTAAAAATCTAAAAATCTAAAAATCTAAAAATCTAAAAATCTAAAAATCTAAAAATCTAAAAATCTAAAAATCTAAAAATCTAAAAATCTAAAAATCTAAAAATCTAAAAATCTAAAAATCTAAAAATCTAAAAATCTAAAAATCTAAAAATCTAAAAATCTAAAAATCTAAAAATCTAAAAATCTAAAAATCTAAAAATCTAAAAATCTAAAAATCTAAAAATCTAAAAATCTAAAAATCTAAAAATCTAAAAATCTAAAAATCTAAAAATCTAAAAATCTAAAAATCTAAAAATCTAAAAATCTAAAAATCTAAAAATCTAAAAATCTAAAAATCTAAAAATCTAAAAATCTAAAAATCTAAAAATCTAAAAATCTAAAAATCTAAAAATCTAAAAATCTAAAAATCTAAAAATCTAAAAATCTAAAAATCTAAAAATCTAAAAATCTAAAAATCTAAAAATCTAAAAATCTAAAAATCTAAAAATCTAAAAATCTAAAAATCTAAAAATCTAAAAATCTAAAAATCTAAAAATCTAAAAATCTAAAAATCTAAAAATCTAAAAATCTAAAAATCTAAAAATCTAAAAATCTAAAAATCTAAAAATCTAAAAATCTAAAAATCTAAAAATCTAAAAATCTAAAAATCTAAAAATCTAAAAATCTAAAAATCTAAAAATCTAAAAATCTAAAAATCTAAAAATCTAAAAATCTAAAAATCTAAAAATCTAAAAATCTAAAAATCTAAAAATCTAAAAATCTAAAAATCTAAAAATCTAAAAATCTAAAAATCTAAAAATCTAAAAATCTAAAAATCTAAAAATCTAAAAATCTAAAAATCTAAAAATCTAAAAATCTAAAAATCTAAAAATCTAAAAATCTAAAAATCTAAAAATCTAAAAATCTAAAAATCTAAAAATCTAAAAATCTAAAAATCTAAAAATCTAAAAATCTAAAAATCTAAAAATCTAAAAATCTAAAAATCTAAAAATCTAAAAATCTAAAAATCTAAAAATCTAAAAATCTAAAAATCTAAAAATCTAAAAATCTAAAAATCTAAAAATCTAAAAATCTAAAAATCTAAAAATCTAAAAATCTAAAAATCTAAAAATCTAAAAATCTAAAAATCTAAAAATCTAAAAATCTAAAAATCTAAAAATCTAAAAATCTAAAAATCTAAAAATCTAAAAATCTAAAAATCTAAAAATCTAAAAATCTAAAAATCTAAAAATCTAAAAATCTAAAAATCTAAAAATCTAAAAATCTAAAAATCTAAAAATCTAAAAATCTAAAAATCTAAAAATCTAAAAATCTAAAAATCTAAAAATCTAAAAATCTAAAAATCTAAAAATCTAAAAATCTAAAAATCTAAAAATCTAAAAATCTAAAAATCTAAAAATCTAAAAATCTAAAAATCTAAAAATCTAAAAATCTAAAAATCTAAAAATCTAAAAATCTAAAAATCTAAAAATCTAAAAATCTAAAAATCTAAAAATCTAAAAATCTAAAAATCTAAAAATCTAAAAATCTAAAAATCTAAAAATCTAAAAATCTAAAAATCTAAAAATCTAAAAATCTAAAAATCTAAAAATCTAAAAATCTAAAAATCTAAAAATCTAAAAATCTAAAAATCTAAAAATCTAAAAATCTAAAAATCTAAAAATCTAAAAATCTAAAAATCTAAAAATCTAAAAATCTAAAAATCTAAAAATCTAAAAATCTAAAAATCTAAAAATCTAAAAATCTAAAAATCTAAAAATCTAAAAATCTAAAAATCTAAAAATCTAAAAATCTAAAAATCTAAAAATCTAAAAATCTAAAAATCTAAAAATCTAAAAAACGAAAACACGAAATATCGAAAAATGGTAAAATCGAAAAATTGTAAAATTGTAAAATTGAAAAATTGTAAAATCGAAAAATTGTAAAATCGAAAAATCGAAAAATCGTAAAATCGAAAAATCGAAAGATCGAAAAATCGTTAAATCGAAAAAGAAATTTCATAACGAAAATAAACCTAACACCCCCCACTCCGACCGGCACAGCGGTGAGGCGTTGAAAGCCATGCATCGTCTAACGTCGTTTCAGTTCGGCAGACTTTGGCGTGCGACTAGACGTATGCGTGTAGACTAGCTGCTAACTGATTCTATTTCTTTTAGACACAATTTCGGAAAAATTGAATTTAAAAATGAATAATGATCCACAAGAATCCACAACAAAATATGGAGCCACCATTGACGCGGTATTTTCCAGATATTTAGAGGATATCAACTCTCAAACTTATGTTTCTTATTTCAGTTACCATAAACTTATAGTTTTAATGATAAAAATTCCTGATAAAAAGTGTAACTTAAATTAATATCAAAGAAAAAATACTGCATAAATAAAATAAATAATTATAATTGCATAAGTTGATAAAAAATGCTATGCAATAGCTTTACCGCGGCAGTCCCCGAGTGACATACCTTTTTTTTCTCTTTTTAAATTGGTCACATTTGAGAATTGGAATTTTTTCTCTTGATAATCATGAATAATATTTATTTTTCTTTTCAGGTTATGAAGGAGAGATCCGCCCTGAGCCTGCTGATACCAGCGGTTCTGATCTCGCTAACGGCCGCCCAATGTCCCTGGCAACGAGAAGTTCCAGAACTACTCTCAGCCTGTTTATGCTCCTACAACTTGGGACACGAACTATCCGTGCAATGTGATATCGTCGACTTTCGAGTGCTTTTGAGCGCTCTCAACAAATACGCTACCGCGACACCTCTGGACCTCCTTTACATCAATAACTCTACGATAAATGCAATCGGTGATAATACTTTTGTTAAATTAAAAGTTCAAAGTATGCAACTTTCGGGGTGTAAAATAAAACAAGTTAGTGACGGTGCTTTCGTTGGACAAGAATCGAATTTGAGAAACCTGAATTTACAAGACAACGAATTAACAGAAGTGCCTGTGAATAGTTTAAAAAATCTAAAAAGTTTGAGTTTGCTAGATCTATCGCATAATAAGATAAGTGTGGTGCCTTCCGGAGCATTTGAAACTCTTCAAAAATTGGCTACGTTAAAATTGTCTGATAATAACGTGACTATACATGATGGTGCTTTAAAAGGATTAGAAGGATCCTTAAAGAATCTGAATTTAAAAGGAACAAGACAAAAAGACGTACCTAAAGCAGTACAAGGAATGAGGACGTTAGCATTTCTAGATTTATCGCAGAATCTTCTAAGGGAACTACCAGGTACCAGTGGAGATAAATCTTTCGAAGGACTTTCTTCTTTAACGGCTCTGAATCTGGAACGAAACCTTATCCAAACATTACAAGAAAATTCTTTTTACGGAATAAGAAGAACTTTGAGCTCTTTAAGCCTCCTGAACAATCTACTGCCCGATTTTCCTACGACAGCTCTAAGTGCTCTAAAAGAACTAAGAGTTTTGGATATAGGTTTTAATTTGCTTACGGAATTGCCTGAAAATGCATTCAGAGGAAATCCTTCGATTACTTTGTTAGCACTTGATGGTAATCCTTTGGCTACGATACCGTTTGAGGCGCTGTCGCACCTTAACAATACATTGAGGGGATTAAGTCTCGGTGGGAGGTTCCTACATTGTGACTGTCGATTAGCTTGGGTAAGTAGTACAGTATTTTGTCCTTATTAGAAAATAAAGCATGATCTATCCTTGTGGGTTAAAAAATAATTACAAACGAATTAAATATTCAACGATAAATGTAGTTTTTGAATCACAAAATAAGTTTCATATATAATTTTATGGGAAAGACAAAATGTGCTAAAATTGGGTCATTAAAAGTTTATTCTTTTTTGCTGTTTCGTAAAATATTCTGGTTAATATTCTTTTCTAAATTGTAATCACTTAAATTTATTCAAAACTAGGTTTGAAGCAATTTGTTTTAGTCAGTTGTATGACAAGCTAAACATGCCTGAGTAAAATTGGGAATCAACCTCAAACTAATTTGGGACAAGCTAATTTCTACATTATGCTACTAAATAGAAGGTGTTTAACGATTTAATACTAACAAATTTGATTGATTTTCAATTGAATCAAAAAATATTTATAATTAATATTATCTCACAATTTTGATACTCCGTGTATACTATTTGAGAATATTTACTGAATAAAAAGGATGTTGACAGATGTTTTTATTTAATTTTCACAGTCAATAAATCAACAACAATAGTTTGAAAACAATTAATTGAAAATTAACGAAAGAATACCTCCTTTGTCACAATTTGAAATTGACTTCCTTAATTATGAACGAATTAGTTTTTATGATCATTTCGCTTTCTTTAAACACCAGCTCAATTACTTTTGACTTATTTTTACGTTTGATGAACAGAAATAATGAAAAGACCAGAACCAAGTTTGAGGAATTTTTGTGTCAATGGTATAGTATTTCAATAATTAGCCTCGTGTTCTTTTTTACTGTCTCCCAATGTCATACGAGAAATTCTGAGAGCATCCTGCACCTTAACTTAAAGTTACACATTACCATAATTTATTTTTACTCACTGAAACGTATTTTAGGTCATAAACTGGATTCGCCATGGTGATCTCCAAGTGACGAGCAGAGAGCGAAATCCACAATTCTGCGGCAGCCCTCCAAGGTTCCGTGATAGAGGCTTCTACAGCATCCAGCCAGAAGAACTCTCCTGCTCCGCTAAAGATCGATCCACCACAACCACCACCACTATTAGCCCCACCATACAAGTCAAGAAAAATCCTGAAGAAACCAAACAAAAAGAATCAGTAGGAGTAGCGACTGTAGTCAGCGCAGACTTAGACGATTTGGTACAAGCTAATCCAGACTTATTAACCTCGACTTCTTCTACAACCAAACTACCTGCAAGAACGACTACTGTAATTAGTACGTCATCTTCATCTACAACTAGCAAAGTGACCACGGCATCATCAACTACTTCTAAAACTACAACGAGTTCTAAGTTGAAAGCAGCAGCAGCAGCTGCTGCACCAGTTTGGAAGACTACACAAAAACCTCCGGTTGTATTAGCCTATCCTGGAGCTAGGGGCAAAGCTGATGAGAGCAAAGAAGTGATTGTTAAGAACGCTTTCAGGCAAGACAATGCTGTAATCATACAGTGGGGATCCGAGACAGCAAATATACTCGGATTTAGAGTAGTATACAGGCTATTTGGCGATAAGAGTTTTAAACAAGGTCCTCCTTTAGAAGCTAGCGAAAGGGAGTTCAAAATCAAAAATGTTCCGTCACAGGTAAGTGGATTACAATTTAGAAAATCAGGACTATTTAAAATTTGAAATTCTTGGTCAGAATGAGGATTAAAGAATAACAACAATAGGTATTGATTTTTGATACAGTTCAAAATTAAGGTAAATTGCAAACTATTTTTTTTTTCTAGAGTTATTAAGATTTTAAAATTTATGACGTAGCCAGGAACGGACCAATACAAAATAGCGACATAGTGTTAGTTTTTTTAAATAAAATATATATATATATATAATTTTTTTTAAAGAGAGAGAAAACCAAAGAGTGCGTATTTACGAGTATGAATGTGCGCCGACACGGTAACTCTATAACGAAAGTACCGATCAACTTTAGGTTTATAAACTGCAAAGCATTTATTATGGAGCTTATTTTATGCGCTGCGGTACAGATTCTGGTTTCACTAGATGGGCATGCTTGTGAACTATATGAAACCTCGGATATTCTTTTACACTGTTGCCATTCTAAAACGTTACATAAGTTTTTTGAACGATTCTTTTGTGTGGTTATTTATTGTAATTATAAATGAAAATGTTTGTTTTTAGAAGAAATAAATGTGGATCTGTATCTGTAACGTGTGGAGGGTCGGTTTTTTTTAAATATTACGATTGGAAAAAACATCATAGGGCAATCACTTCTGCTCATGTAACGTTATAAATAACGTTTCAGCTTTATTTCCGGAATATTAATGACATTCAATAATTATACCGTCCTAGAAAAAATATTCAGGCATGCCAGTGGTACGAGCTGGTATTTTCAAGGCCACCTTTATAATGTTGAAATCAATAATTTGGGTCTTGCGCGGTCGTACAATAGAACGAAGCATTTAACTATCCTTTCGTGGTCATTAGCTGTCTTTCTGCTGTGTGAAGTTTGACCGAATGATTTGATTTTTTTGGTGTATTGTGTGTTCGACGACTAAAGAGAATACCTCGACATAAAGAGGAACAGTAAAGAGGATACAGCACCACAAAGAGGATACCATGAGAACAAAGAGCCACGGAGGTAAAGTCGTACTAACGAGGATAGAATAGACGGTGGACCTGTAGAACACCGCCATTACAGCAACCAGACATCTGCAACATATTTTTGTCAACGTCCCAGTTAACGCTGGAAAATCCTCGACCGTTCAACCAAGCGAGATAAGTTTCAGTTGTCGAAGTCCAAACATTTTTACTATACAGGGTGGCGGCGCATCCTATACGCGTCGATCTCTGTAGGGAAAATAACTTAAAATTTGATTTTTTTTCCTTAATAGGGATATACAAGGCCATTAACGCTACAAATTAAAAATAATTTGGATTATATAGGGTGACCCAAAAGTAGGAATTTTTATTACAGAAACTTTACTTTATTTTTCCGGCGAATCAAAAGACCATCAAATATAAAAACATAACTTTGATATAAATTCCTATTTTTGGATCACCCTGTATAATCCAAATTATTTTTAATTTGTAGTGTTAATAGCCCTATTAAGAAAAAAAAATCAAATTTTAAGTTGTTTTCCCTACAGAGAACGACGCGTATAGGATGCGCCACCCTGTATATAGGGTGTTCCTAAACATCGTGTCATAATTGAAGAAGGTAATTCCTTGGCACAATTTATGACTAAAAGATTTTATATACATGTGTCCTAAATTGCTTTGTTTCAAAGATACAGGGTGTTCAAATTTTTAAAAATAATCAAATTTTCATTCATATCATAAACACTCTTCGACCGATTTTGATGAAACTTGGCAGATTCATTTGTTTTAGTAAGAGATTAATTTTGACCTAGTTATATCTGAATTATTAATTCCAGTGGCGTCCCCAAAAGCAACTTAATTAATATTTTTGAAAACAAAGTAAGCCATTGACTTTTTCATATTTTTTCTTTTCTTTTTCAATAAAAAACACATCTTTTTTGTCTCTTAAACTGTTTCTATTTTTCGTGTTTTTATCGAGATATAAAATAAACACTCGTACCAGTGGTACGCCTGAATGTTTTTTCTCAGGAGAGTATAATTATTGAATGTCGTTAATATTGCCGAAAATAAAACTGAAACATTATTTATAACGTTACACTCATTTAAAAACCTAGTTTTCTGTCAAATTTTTTTAAACGAAAAAATTTCCGAGTTTGACAGATAACTAATGCAATACCTAGCCAACTTTAATATGGATATTTTAAATTTAAAAAAAGAAGAGGTGAATGTCATAAGACGTTTTATTCCAATCTCAATATTTAAAAGTGTTCATATGGATCCAACTTTATTGAATATAATACTTTAATTTATACATTAAATTTGGTATTTGTATTTAGACATTTAAAGAACTACTTTCATTCCAGGAATTTTACCGATCATTGCTTACTTAGAAATTACCAGGTCAGTAATTAAAAGACTGATCTTTCCTCATGCGATAGCGTAATAAATGCATTTTTAAACGGCCACGATCTCTATGTGCGATTCGACATCGAGAAATGTAGAGCGTAAAGCACTTCAGTCTCATTATTTTATTTATAACTTCTCGGACCGACTTATCATCTCTTGGTTTCGCTTTCACGGAAGTGGAGCTGCATGTACATACGGGACGATCACAAAATATACCGTTGGGTTTGTTAATTAAGTAGTATAAATAAAAAATGTTGCTTGGTGCGAAATAACTGTTACAGACACTATGATGGTGATATGGCGGTTCGAAATTAACGTTATATTTACAAAAAATTTTAGATTTTATACCAATAAAAGTATAGATATAGATCATTTCACCGATGATGGCGATTAGGTCATCACTAATATACGAAAACAGTAAACATAAATCATGACCAGCTAACATAAAATTAAATTTTCCGTCGACCGACCATTTATGATGTATTTTAACGCACTCAATTATTATTATAATCCCTAACAATGAATGATTTTCTATTAATCAACGATTTTATTATATGCAACCCAACGTACATTGCTCATATTATATATTTATATTGACAGTTACCTACTGTGTAGGCAACCAAACATACATATAAATTTAAAATCAAGGTGTGATAGTTAATACTATCTGTATTGTACGTCATAATTTAATTTCTTAAAATTCAAAAACTTTATGTACAGTAATCATTTATCAATTCCTTCATTGAATTTTAGTAATTGCACAATTTCTAATATTAATATTTACAATAATAAAACTAGCACTGAGGAAAATTGAACTAACTGTGAATAAAGATAATATAAATAGAAAATAATAATTGTTATTTTTCGTTAAACAAATAAAAATTGAAAGTAAGATATCTTTATTTTTGAAAAGTACGGTCGACGGAAAAGTTCTGTAACGAATTCGTGAATTAAAATGGCGATTAATACACTTGTTCGTTAAATAACCATAAATAAGTACTTAACGAAAAAGTTGTATTTTTTTATACAGGGTGGCGCATCCTGTACGCGTCGATCTCTGAAGGAAAAACGACTTAAAATTTGAATTTTTTTTCTTAAAAGGGATATACAGGGCTATTAACACTACAAATTAAAAATAATTTAGATTATACAGGGTGATCCAAAAATAGGAATTTATATCAAAGTTATGTTTTTTTTTAAGGGAACACCCTATATTTGATGGTGTCTTTTGATTCCCCGGAAAAAATAAAATGAAGTTTTTGTAATGTTTCCTATACCTATCTCTTTTAGTTTTTGAAACTATTAAAGAATTCTTAATTTGTAAGCTTGAACAACATAACCTAGTATGTCGCGGTTATTTAAAACACATCAATAGTCACCTGCGATATGCGTAGCCAAGATATTAGACTATCAAATAAAATGCAAATTTTCGACTTACATGTGGAGTTGAATAATATTCCTATTTTAATTGACTCACCCTGTATTTAATAACATAAACTGATAGACATTTAAATTATCTTTCATTCAACATAAGATTTTCCTATACATAAACTCGATGGATCTTTAGTAAATAGCTGTTTTTTAGTTTTAACAAACGGATTTTATCATATTATTTTTTAATCATAGTAACCATAGAGCAAATATCACTCAAAATATGGTATTGAACGAAATAAATTTTTTTATCACTTTTCAATGTTAAATAGTTTCAACGTAAACCAAAACTATAATTTTTTTAATAAAAAAAAAAAAAAATTATTGACATGAAAATTTGAATTATTTGAAAACTACACACAAATAAAAAAGAGTAGGAAACAAATTGAAAACAAAACAAAAAATGAATTATAAAAAATGTTCAACTCGTTTTTCAAAGGATCGTTTCACTTTGAGAAGAATTTCTCCAGTTACTGTCTGAAAATCAGCTCTTATTCTAGCTTTCATATCTTCCGGAGTAGTTGGTGGTATACTTTGTATGTGCCCCATAAAAAAAATTCAACGACGTCAAGTCTGGAGATCTTGGAGACCAATTATGTGGACCACCTCTTCCGATCCATTTATTAACAAAACGCCGGTTTAAGTATTGCCGTACTACATTTTCTGCCTAGTATTTAAAAGTACATTATCAAGGAGCCCAGAAAATTTTCATCGCAAAAATTTTAGAAATTTTCTGCCATTAAGATGACCGGTAAAAAAAATAAGGACCAATAACATGTAAACCTAATTTTCCTCCCCACACATTCAAAGACCACCTATGCTGATGATCGAGAGTACGAAAGACGTGAGGATTTTCATTATTATAATCAGAGCTGTTTAAAATCATTTTAAAAACGATTTAAATCAAAGATCATAAATTGTTTGCATTTGAACAAATGATTTAAATCAAAAATCGATTTTTTAAAAAGAAAGATTTAAATCAAAAATCTTTTTTAGATTTAAATCTTTTCGAAAGATTTAAATCTTTTCGAAATATCTAAATCTTTTTAAACGAAATAAACATTTTCAAAAGATTTAAATATTTTTAAAAGATTTATGCAGGATTGATCTATAGTCATGTAAATTGTTATTTAAAAATGTCATGTCGATTGGTAAATAGGATTTTTTCAACCCTTAAAAAGATACTT